TGCATTTGCACAAAGTATTCCGTTTGTGTAGAATATTCTCTCTCTCTCACTTAATAAGCTTTCCTTACAGAATCCAACTTAGTCTTTGTTTCTTCAAGAAAGTCTTCTTTAATCTCTAAGGCAAAGTTTTCTGTTATTTCTCTCTAAACAGTATGGCCTAGCTTGCTGGAACCTCATTATAGCTTTTCATTTATTTGTAAAAGGGCTTGATATGTTTTCTCCCCGTTAGACTGTGAGCTCCACTAAGGAGGGACCATGTCTGGTTTTGCGCATCGCCACCTCACACACTAGCACAAAGTATGACATTGAGCCTGTTTCCTGACCTCTTTGTTGAAGGGCCTGAGAGCGAGCGTTTGCTGTACATTTGGTTTGGCTATTTTCTTACTACCGCTATTTCCCCTGCTGTTTAAAGTTCAGTTTGGGTGTGTTCTCTTAGATTCTACTATGCTGGTTTTCACTAACCTGAAGTGCTCTGTGGTTCAGCTGGTCAACTCAGCTCACATTCTCACAGCATCAGCTGCATGCCGGGCAACACACTGGGCCTCGGGGACATCAAAGAGGGACACTTCTCTGACACAGACCAGCTCGCGGTTTAGCGGAATGTGACATGTTTGAGTGCTGTATTATGGGTAGGAATGGAGCAATAGGAAAACACAGAAGAGAGGCCATTGATTGGTCTTGAGAAGTCAGGGAACATTTTAGGGAACCTGAGGCAGGGGCTGGACTTGAAGGTTTGCGTGTGGTATGACCAGGCATGGAAAATGGAGAAAGGAGGCAGAAGCAGAGGTCTCAAGGTGAGAAGAGGAATCCACATTTGGCAAGAGTGAGGTCCAGTGTGACTGGGCACATAGGCCCACACAGGGGACCGTGGTGAGGAGCAAGACCAGAGTGAAGTCTCAGGGACAGGAGGGATTTCATCCCACTCACCCAGTGTGGAGCTTCTTTAATATGTGGCCTTCAACACAAGATGGACAGGGTCCTATTTTGTTTTTAAAACAATAGCAATAACCAAGTACTGGTGCGAGAGTGTTGACACTTGTGATGGCAAGGGCAGAGGCACAGAGATGACCAAGATGGTGGCCGCCATGACCAGAGAAGCTGACAGGGCTGTCTGAGCTCCTGAAGTAGGGAGAAGAATGGGGAAGGGAAGGGTGAGAATTGGTAACTCTAGTCCTTTTCTTTTCTTTTTTTTTTTTTAAGTTTATTTTCTCAATGAGTGAGGGAGAAAGAGAATACTCTATTGGGGTCTTGGTGCCATAATGCACCCCCAGCCCTATGCAGCCCTGGATCACGGGCACGTGCATGCCTGACATGCTCAGGAGGTCGCTGGACATGAACCTGGAACCTTCCCATGTGAGTCAGCCTTGCAGAGAGTTGTATTATGTTTGTGCCACCCCAGCTCTCTCTAGTTGGTTCTTAAGGGCCATTCAGTGGAAAGACATCGTCCCCTTGATAGGTCCAATAGTCAGCAGATCTGAGTTTTAGCTTTGTCATTAATTTGGGAGAATTGTGAGCAAGTTAGGCCTTATTTCACCTCTCTATAAAGTGAGCACAATAGTACATGCCTTGTTTACTCTATGGTATTATTATAGGATAAAAATTAAGTAGGCAATAGTTTGAAAATACTTAGGTTTTCATAATTACAATAAATCATTACTATTAGATTAGATCCCACTACTCCCTTGTATTCTGCCTTTCTGAAAAACCAAGTTGGCATCTGTCCAGGGACACATGTACCACAGGCTCACCAGGGTCCAAGATGGGGATGCTTACGGTCTGCACCCACCTCCATTCACCACCCTCCCCAGGCACTGGGCTGATTACCAACTGCAGGCCGTTACGCTATTTCCTGACGTGTTTATTCCTCCTATAGCTGATGATCTAGATTCTATTCATCACTTCAAGCCCAGTTTATGTCTCACTTCTTCCCTAAAACTATTTGATTTACTAACGCCACCTGGAGTTCTTTCTTTCCTATAATCTACATTGACTGGCTTGGGTTTCTAAGTAGATTGCAGATGACTTGAGTAGAAGAGCCATGGTAATGTATGCACATCTAAAAGTTCACAAGGCAGAAGAAATCTATACGACAGAAAAACTACTTTGGAGCTTGAGATTGCAATCTCAACTTCTGTCTTGTGTGTGTGTGTGGTTCCTTTTCTTCTTCTTTTATAAATGTTACATTGAATCGCTATATACCTTTACAGCACACAAAAAGAAATGAATTTCCCCAGCATGTATACACTGTATATTAGTCTACTCAAAGATATTACTATATACATCATCAACAACAGATCATTTTTCATTTTGGTGTCCACTAAATTTTTCCCCCTTGACTCCTTCCTTCCCATCTCTCCATTTCTCACCTCCTCCCACACCGGATCTAGTATTCACAGATTATAGATTTATGCCTTCTGATCTTTCAGTTTCTGCCATACAGTGCAGACATTTGGTATATATTGTGGGGACATACAGTGCCTCTCTTTAATAGTCTGTCTTGCTTTGCTTAACATTATATCTTCCATATTTGTTCAATGCCAGGGTCTTAGTGTTTTGTTTTGTTTTACGGATGAATAGTATTCCACAGTGTATGTGTGCCACACCTCCATTCATCTTTACCTCTGTCTTTTACTGTCTTTGTGTCCTTGGGTAAGTTATTTGAACTCTCTGAACCTCAGTTTTTCAACTAATAACATAGTGACATCAGCACCTACTCTGGAGTGTTATGCAAATATAAATTACATAAAGCTACTGAGCACAACAATGAGTGCATAGTAGGCATTCTCTGATTGTTATTTCAACCCTCTTCTTTCCTACAGGGGGGAAGACTAGGATTGGGGGAGAAGGATGAGAGAGAGAGACTTTAACTCCCCTGAAATTTAACATTGAATTCTCCTTGGTTTGCCCTATCTTCAGAAGTGATGTTTTCTCAAGTGGGGGTGGGAATTTCTCCTAAGGACAAACAGAGCTGATGGACATGGAGGATATAAGGTCCCGACATTAGCTGGAGTTTAGGCTTCAGCAGTAACATCCTAGCTTTTCTCTTAGAAGTCCTGGTTGGGATGTGATGTGTACTCTAATTTAAATGCCTGTAGAGGTTCTTAGTGCTTCTTCACAAAAAAATCCAGGGCAAGTGTCATCCGTGGACAAAAGCCAAAATCCTTGTCTTTCCTCTTCTCCCCAACCCATGAAGGAAGCTGGAAGGATGGAACCCAAATCACTTCTCCTGATACCAATGATTTAGACCATTTTAGAGGCAGCTCAGATTTCATAATTTTTCTGAAAAGTCTAGCCCTGTTAGAAATTGTTGGTTTTATTATTGTTTTTTAAAACTGTGCTCCTGACTAGTCCCCTAGGAGAAGCAGCTGGGCTGTAGGCTCCAGAGACCAGCCAACAGTGACTTTAAAGTGATTTATGTTCTCCCCCTTCATTATTTAAGATAAAACTTTATCATCACAAGGAACTACTTAATCAAAATGCCAGGAATCCTCTTGGTTATAAGAAATTTATTAGAACAGTTCTTTTTTTAATCTCAAGTCATAAAACCATTTTAAACTTTAAATGTCATAGCAACATTAATGAACGATTTATTGAGGGGGAAACAAATTAGTTTATCGGCTCCCAGCCTGCTTTGGAAACTGAAGTACTTGGGAGAAGCTTTTGCCTTTGTAAATAGACATGCAAACCTTGCAGGAAGAAGCTCCTAAGAAATTCTGTAATGCTGAAGTTTGGAGAGTTAATAGTTTTTTTTCACCATCAAGGCCATTTCAGTTGTGCCTGAGCTGTGATTTTGTCTCAAAGTGGCTAGAAAAGAATCTGATAGGGAAATGAGGTGTTCTTACTGATAATCACCTGCAATGATAAGAGTCAGGTCTTTTTTCTTTCTGCTTCATAATCCATGACCAGCAGTTTAAAGAGTTCTGCAATCACACCGTTCCCTCAGCATTATTGATTGTGTTGAGAGTAATGTTCTCTCCATTAGTATTCCGATTTCAGCACTAACATTTTGCTTCTATGGATAAACAGACTTGTGAAAAATGAGGATGATACCAAGGGAAGCAGATAGCAGAAATAAGTTTAGAGAAAGGGCCTCAGGGCACTGGAATTTCCATACGGATTTCTCAGGACCTCTCACAGCTTTCAGAGGGCTGTGGGAGAAACTTGGCATCTTCAACAGATACATCAGCACTTTGCTGGCTTATAATGTAATTATTGAGTTGTTGGAAAAGTCATGACGCCGACACCTTTTTGCATAGAAAAACACATCATGACTTTTCCTACAACCCAATAACTGTGTGTCCAGTTTGTCTCCATTGTAGATGTCTTTCTTGAAAACTTGCCTTTGAGCCTGGCTGAGATGTGCATTACCTGGGAAATGGACTCCAAGACAGAGATTTGTATTCAGGTAGTTTCCATGGAACTGCTCATGGGATGGAAGCCTTTGAGGGAGGGGGGGAAGCAAAAGGGAACATTGAGCTATTCTGCATTTTCAACATAGACTTGGTTTAGTTAGCCCCATGGTGCTCTGAAGTTGGGGTGCCCTTCATGATTGCCTTGCCTTAACATAGAGAGCTGGACCTTAAAAACTCTCTCCCTTTGGAACTGTTGTTGAAAGGGGCTGTGTCCAGGGAGAGGCTGTTCCCTTAGGGAAGGGTGCTCTCTTGGGCTGTGGGCAATGTCTGGAAAGGCCAACTGCCAGCTATCAACAAGGAAAGTGAGAATGAAATCATGCTTTGTCTGCTTGGTGATCTATCCACCATGCCCTTTGACTTTCTGCCCTACCTCAATGACCCTTGCCCTCCTTCATGTTTGATCTGTATTAATGTGGCTGTTTCTTTCTTTGCTGGACTGTAAGGTCAGTGAGAACAGGTCTCCTCTCTCTCACATTCCTGGCATTTAGTGCATACCTATACTCGGTAAGCTTGGCTTGAGTGAGGGATTAAATGTAGTTCTTCCCTTATCCAAGTGACTCTCCACAATCTTTGTGTGTTCTATTGCAGTCCTGTGTCCTGAGCTTAAGCATCTTCCTGTTGCCATGCAAGAAAGAAGGGCTGGGGAGAGGAGAAGAAGATGGGAGATAGAAATTATGGATGCTTCCCCATCCCCATACCCTATGGCTCTGCTATTGCCCAGAAAGAGGGCCAAGACTGCCTTCATGACCCCTCAGCAAGGATGACCCATTTCTGTGATGTTGGACCCCCGACTGACATTTCAGAATAAACCTTGTCACTTGCTCTTCTTCAACTGTCAGCTTGGTCATCTCCTCATACTCTGCCTTTAGAGGCTCTGACAGTTTGGGGATAAGAGGCTATAAGATTTCCACTCAGCCTCCAAAACTTTCCAAATGGAAAGGAGGACATCATTTCTTCTGTTGAGGTACTCCTGGTTTCCTGGGGAAGATTTACAGACACACACATAGAAAAGCAGAAGAGAGAGGCTGCAGAAACATGAGTGAAGGCAAGGCAGCAAGACCCAAACCTGCCATCTGTGCATTGAAGTCATCGTTTGCTTAGCCTTGGGGTTTTATAGCCTCCTTCAGATTTCATCCTTCCCGTTCAATGCTCACAGAGCATCATACAGTCCTCTTCTCTGGGCCAGAGACAGACGTGGTATTCAGGACTGGCTTAGCTCCCTGCAGTGTGAGCCTCTCACATCACTTCTCAAGGAGCCTTGGATTCCTCCTAGGGAAGTAAGGATGAGCTTAGAGCTGTTCACACTAGGCTGGACTCCCCCACTGCCTCCTCTCTCCCTTCCTCTTCTCTCCCTTTCCAGTTTGCCAGGGCCCCGGCTCCCCCGACACTTATCTGCCTCATTACTCTCCAGCTCCCTCCCACTCCTGACTGGGGTTGACATATTATTAGAAATGGCTCTGAAATTGTTCTCTTCCCCAGATAAAATATTCATCACTTAGATCTGTCTTTTTATTGAAAATTTCAAGTGGAGCAGGCTCTATTTATGTTGTGCATCACGGGCACATAGAACCTTGAAGTGAGTGAGTGGAACCAAGGACTGACAGGGCATGAACACTGCGTGGAGGGCCAAGGAAGGGTGGCAAAGGATGCCAGAGATTTTTCCAGAAAGAGAGAGTGCAGAATGCCAATGGTGGTGGTGATAAACCAGACAGGTTAATAGTTTCGGGATGGGGGCACTCCCTGTTAGTCATGTTATTAGAGTTTTGCTCACTCTGTGATGTGTCTGTCATTGGTAGAGGTTCAAAAATAATTGTTTCAGCCAGCAGGTGGTGTGGTGGTTAGGGTGCTAGATTCCCACATGGCCGACTATGATTCATGACCCGGTCCTGGTAGCTGGAAAATCACAACAAATAAATAGATCCATAAGTGTTTAAAAATAATTGTTTACTTATTTTCAGAAAAAGCCCATAGTCTTCCCTTCTAATTCTGCTGGGATTAGAACCTCAGCCTGCTGTTTCATCCTGGTCTTTGGAGATGAGCTTGGGTTTGGCAATGCACTTGGATGAAGCTGTAACTGAGGAGTATTGGTCAGACCTTAGAGAAGGGTTTGTGCCTTGAAGGTTGACATTGGGTTTGGCAACAAAGGCACTGTTCTCTACCCAGAGATCAGGCGACTCTCCCAGTGTAAGAGTTGTGGGTGTGTGTCTGAGGCTGTGGGGAATGAGGTGAGTGTGTATATGTGAGTCTGTGCAGCTGCTGAGAGAATGCCTGTGAGTGCATGGGTGGGTGTGTGGAGAGATGTGAGGGAGGAAGCAAGGAGGCTTCAGCATAAACCCATGAAAATGGTAAGGTCCAGGCTGGGCCCATGGCCTACTGGTTAGGGGAGCTGGATCCCACATAGTGAATCTTGGCTCAAATCTCAGACCTGCTGGCTTGAAAAACACACTTGTGTGTTTGAATGTGTGTCCACAATCCCAACAGGATGGAGAAATGGAGGAAAAAGGATTATGGTGTAGCCATGCCTCCCTGGGGCAGGCAGGGAGTAGGGTGACTTTCTCCCTTTCCCCCTCTCTCTCTCTGGTGAATGAACACACCCTCTGGCAGTTAAAAAAAGGAAAGAAAATGCTAAGGTCCTTTGAATGAGAAGCCGCCATAACACCAGGAGTGTGACTTCCTTGACCTCTCTTTAGGGATGGGTTTGTATGGAATCTTTCTCAAGGTGCCTCATGAGGCATTTAGCATCTGAGCTAAGAGTAGATAACTATCAGGACTTGATGCCAAGAGAGATTTTCCTTTTTATTCTGGGAAATATTTTTATTCCCTCTGGTCCCAAAGCTGACTCGAGAGGCAATTAACCCTACCTACATCCTTAATTCAGAGAGGTGCTGCTAGGGCTTACTGAGAGTCCTGAGTCAGAATTAGTTCTTCAAGCCCCCTTTCACCTCCTACCTGCCAATGTTTAGGGACTGGGAGAGAGGAAAGAGACTTAGAGGAAGTGAGGTGTTTAAATAGAGGCTGTTCATTTCTTCTATTGCCTTTACCTTGGGAAAGGAGAAAGTGTCCCTCTCTGAAGCTGAAAGAGGAAGACTCTATAAGAATTACTCATAATGTTTGGAGGTGTCTATACTCTTCCTCTTCAGTTAAATCAGGGCTAGTGATTGCCTCGCCTCTGAAAGTTTTCTAGCTGCCAGGTTTGCAAGATGCTTAAAGTCACTGTTGTTTGGAGGCTGGATCAGGAGAGAGAAGGAGGATCTCCAAGAAGAGGCATGATTGGGACTAGCAGATTGCATGGCGGTTATGTCACTGGACTCCCACATGGCCAACCGTGGTTCAAGTCTCGAACCCGGTAGTTTCAAACTCACTCCGGGCATACATGCGTGCATGCCCAGGATCCCAGGAGGATAGTGGAGAAGGGATTGCAGCATGGCCATTCCCCCTGAGGGGGTGATTTCTTACTTTCTGTCTCTGTCTTTGTCTCTCTGGTGATTGTGCACACCCTATAGCAAAACTCTCTTTTTTTGGGGGGGGAAGGTTTTTTTTTTCTTTTTTCTTTTGCTATAGGGCGCATGTGCTTGCCAGACAGAGAGAGACAGAGAGAGATAGAAAGCGAGAAATCACCC